CTGAAGAGCTGAGGGACAGCGCCCAGACCCAGAGTTCAGGCCCATGACCGGACACCCCCCCCCAAAAAAAAAGACCCAGTATCAGTGAGAGTGTGCATGTGTGCGCGCACATGTGCACATGTGCAAACACACACACACACACACACACACACAAAGCAAAAAGGAAAAAAATCTCAAGCCTTGGGATTCCCAGTATCAGCACATGGAAATGAAGAGTAGAGCATTAACATTAAAATTAGCATCAAAGCCAGGTGCTCGTGGCTCAAGCCTGTAATCCTACCTACTCTGGAGGCTGAGATATAAGGATCACCATTCAAAGCCAGCCTAGGCAGAAAAGCCCATGAGATTCTTACCTCCAATTAACCACTAGAAAACTGGAAGAAGTATTGTAGATTAAAGTGGTAGAGCACTAGCCTTGAGCAAAAGAGCTCAGAGACAGTGTCCAGGCCACAAGTTCAAGCCCCATGACTAATAACCACAAAAAAATAATAAAATTTTTAGTATCAAGCAATTAAACAATCCAACTTGTAGACCTTTTGTACATTGTCCTAATAGTTGCTATATGGCAAAGGAAAGCTGAAATTGTGCCTTGCATTTAGCTGTTATATCTCTTAGTCTCCTTTAATCTGGAATTATTACTGAGTTTTGCATGTCATTGATATCTTTTTTTGGGGGGGGGTCCGGTCGTGGGGCTTGAACTCTGGGCCTGGACGCTGTTCCTCAGCTCTTCAGCTCAAGGCTAGCGCTCTACCACTCGAGCCACAGCTTTCATTTTGCTTATGTGATGCTGAGGAATCGAACCCAGGGCCTCAGGCTTGCAAGGCAAGCACTCTACAACTGAGCCACCTTCCCAGCCCCTCAAAGATATCTTTTGAAGAGTAAGAACTTTTTAAAAATTATTTCTTAATTGAGATGAAACACACATAGCATATAATTTTCCATTTTGAGCATTTAAAATGTTAACCATTTAGCCATCAAATTATATCAATGAGGACCTTTTAGAACATCCATCACTGCTATCTAATTCCAGAATATATCCATCCCCTCCAAAGTGAATCTGTCTCTTTCACCAGTCACTTGCAATTTTCTCCCACTCCTACTCTCTGGGAAATGACCAACCTATTCTCTATCACTTATAAATCTGTCTGTTTTGGACATTTCATAGAAATACATCATACAATATATAGCTTCTCCTAGTCTTGTTTATTTTGCTTAACACAATGTTATGTTGGTTATGTTGTAGCATGAATCTGTACTTCACTCATCTGAATAATATCCCATTGTATGGCTACACCATGTTTCATTTATTCAAGCACCAACTGATGACATTTGGTTATTTCAGCCACCATGATTGATGTTGCAAATAACATTCTTGTGCAACTTTTTGGTGGATATGTTGTCAGTTCTCTTGGGTATGTGCTTACAATGGAATTGCTGGGTTATCTAGTAACTCTATCTTTAACCTCTAGAGGAAATTTAAAACTTTCCCCAGTGTCCATATCAGTTTATAATTCCACCAGGAATGTATGAAGACTCTAATTTCTCCACTACCTTGCTTAAAAAAATAATATTAAGAGCCAAGCACTGGTGGTTCATGCCTGTAATCCTAGCTACTCAGGAGGTTGAGAATTGAGGATTGTGGTTCGAAGCTAGCCTGAGCAGGGAAGTCTTTGAGATTCTTATCTCCACTCAATTACTAAAAAATTCCAGAAGTGGAACTGTGGTTCCAATGGTAGAGCACTAGCCTTGAGAAAAAAAAAAGTTAAGGGACAGTGCCCCTGAGTTTGACCCCCCAGGACTAGTGTGTGTGCATGTGTGTGCACGTGTGTGTGCACTCACACACACAATTATTAAGGCCATTCTAATGAGTACAAAATAGTACCTCACTGTGATTTTTGATTGTCTTTCCTAATGGTATTTTTTGTATGTGTATACCATACACCTATGTGATTATTTGGAGATAAAAATTTCTTGGATTTATCTACCTATGTTGGCTCAGACTCCTGAGTAGCTAGGATGGATGTGAGCTACCAGTGCCTGGCTAGCCTGTGGTTTGAGATAGAATCTTGTGTAGGGCTTGTGTAGGGCTGGGAAGGTGGCTCAGTGGTAGAGCACTTGCCTTGCATGCATGAGGCCCTGGATTTGATTCCTCAGTACCACATAAGCAGAAAAAGCCGGAATTGGCGCTGTGGCTCAAGTGGTAGAGTGCTTGCCTTGAGCTGAAGAGCTGAGGGACAGTGCCCAGGCCCAGAGTTCAAGCCCAGGACTGGCAAAAAAAACAAAAAACAAAAAACCCCACAACAAAATACAATCTTATTGTGTAGTTCAGGTTGTAGTCAAACCTCCTGTCTCTGCCTCTTAAGTGCTAGGATTACAGGAGAATGCCACTGTTCCAGGCTTGTTCTCTTATTGCCCCATGGTTTGGGTTTGTCTGAGGCTTCTTTGTGATTAGAGGTAGGCTATGCACCTTCTGTCTCATTTCACCATCCCCACAAGCCCTGATGAGAGGAGGGTCTGTTAATTCCACAGGAGGCTGGGAAAGCTCCCTCTTATTCCCAGAGCTAAGCCACTTGTCTGTGGCCAGCAGGTGGCTAACACATTTCAGGCCAGGCCTTCCCAGTTTGGGGCTACAGGTCTGAGAGCTGTGGTTTTTACCTTGTTAGAGCACCTGCCTCCGGACTGCCTTGCCACTTGTGCTGCTTGCAGGACTGAGTTTCAAGCAGCAGTCGGAGCTGTGTCCTCTGCCCAGGAGACACTGGAGCAGCTCTAAACCCCACTCTGCCCAAGAAGTTACTGACTTCCACTCTGGCCTGGCAGCCATATGGTTGATGCCCACTTGCTGATTTCCTTCCCCCAGATGGGTCTTCCTGGTGAAGAAGAGCTACCAAGACACAGACACCTCACTACAGAGTGCGGTTGTCACCAAAGTCAAAGGTGTGGCCTACACCAACACCTCAGAGCTCGGGGAGCGGCTCTGGGATGTTGCCGACTATGTCATTCCACCCCAGGTGAGCGATCCCTCCATCCCAGTCGCAGGGACCCCAGCTGGTGTGTATGGCTTGGGTGGATCATACAGGAAACAGCTTGGGTGCCCACCCAGCTCTTGGGTGCCCAGGGATTTCCATCTGTGATCTCCCTTGGTTCAGGATGTCTAAATCCTTTTTCCCTTCCAAGTCCTATCTTCATTTCTGTGCCTAGGGTGACTGTTCTGTTCCAGAGATTCTGGGTCTACTGAGATCAGGAAGCCCAAATAACTTTGGAGTCATCATGAGTAGGTGGTTTGACACAGATAAATTCTTCCTTACCACAGTGTTCTTGGGAATAGCTCCCCCCCCATGCTTCAGTCATCCTGGGCCAGGACCAGGGCAAGTCCACTGCCACTTTCTAAGATCAGGGCTTGCCCCAGGCAAAGTTCAGAACAGGGATTCACTGGTCAGCATCACTTAGAAATACAGTGAAAGGATTTCTATTTAGACTCTGCAGGTCTATTGTTAACTGGGTGAAGTCCTCCAGTTTTGTGGTCCCATTGAATTAAACATCCATGCAGAGGTCCCACTCTACCAGGGAGCCTGGCTAGGAGAGTTCCAAGAGTACAGGCAGGGGTTCCTCAGCCCCTCTCTGCTTCCTCAGGGGGAAAACGTCTTCTTTGTGGTCACCAACCTGATCGTGACTGCCAACCAGCGGCAGGGCATCTGTGCTGAGGTTTGCTTTGACACAAGGGTGAGGAAGCCGTGGGAGGGCTACAGCCATGGTTGGAAATGGGGCTGGGAGGCTGCATGCACCTGCACTGTCTGGGGACAAGGAAGTTCTCAAAGGATGTGTGGCTTTAGGCAGGGAAAAACCCCAATTTTAGTCCATGCATGGGGCCAAGGCTTGAGCTGAAGGTCCTTATTCAGGCACCTTTCTTTACTGACAGCATGAAGATATTCCTGATGGCATTTGTTTTCAGGACAATGACTGCGATGCTGGGGTGCCTGTTATAGCTGGACATGGTAAGGAATGGGTAGGGATGAGGGGAATGAAGGGGACCTGGGGCCTGAAGGCTCCTGGATTGTCCCTTTTCCACCCCCTGCAGGAGTGAAGACTGGTCGCTGTCTGAGGGTCAGAAACTCAACCAGGGGCACCTGTGAGATCTTCGCCTGGTGCCCAGTGGAAACAAACTCCAACCCAACGTGAGTGGGTGGGGTACCCTGAGAACGTACACAGTGCCATGCCCATTCCAGGAACCTCATTCTGAGGGGATGTCAGGACAAACCAGAAAGCTGTGAGGACATTGCAAAGGGGAAAGGCTCCAGGAGAGCAAGGGATAGCCTGGGGCCTTGCCACAGGCCAACGGTGGTGTGAAATCTTTGTCCATTAAAAGTGCTTGTGGCCAGGTACTGGTGGCTCATGCCTGTAATCCTAGCTACTCAGTAGGCTGAGACCTGAAGATTGAGGTTCAAATCTAGCCTGGGCAGATGAGACTTTTATGTCCACTTAACCAGAAGTGGAAGCATGTCTCAAGTGGTTGAGTGCCAGCCTTGATTTAAAAAAAAAAAAAAAGGCTGGGAAGATGGCTCAGTGGTAGAGTGCTTGCCTTGTATGCATGAGGCCCTGGGTTCGACTCCTCAGCACCACATAAGCAGAAAAGCTAGAAGTAGCACTGTGACTCAAGTGGTAGAGTGCTAGCCTTGAGCTGAAGAGTTGAGGGACAGCGCCCAGGCCCGAGTTCAGGCCCATAACTGCAAAAAACAACAACAAAAAAAGTGCTCGTGTGGGTAGTCCACCTTTTGCTTAAGCTTTCCTGGTTTGGTTTTCAGAGAGCCACTCCTGAGGGAGGCTGAGGACTTCACCATTTTCATAAAGAACTTCATTCGTTTCCCCAAGTTTAACTTCTCCAAGTATGTAGGGCTTGAGACTCTTGGTTGGCCTTCCTTGTGGCTGTGCATGTTTATTGGGAATGCGCATGTGACATCTCCATGTGAATGAGGGCAATGCTGAGGAGAGTGGTCGTCAAGCAAGGGGCTCACTCACTACTGAGTTGTGCCCAGGAACAGAGTCTGACTCTTATCTCATGACTTTCACCCAGAGCAAATGTGCTGGACAACAAACATTTCCTGAAATCCTGTCGCTTTGGCCCCAAGAGTCACTACTGCCCCATTTTCCACCTGGGGTCTGTGTTACACTGGGCAGGGAGCAGCTTCCAGGACATGGCTCTGAAGGTGGGTGGCATGCGCCAAGGGAGCCTTCTGTGGGGACCCGGGCTCTGCGATGGGGAGGTGAGTGTGGATGGGGGACCTTAAGGTGAGTGGGAGGCAGCCCTGCAAAGTCACTTGCCAAACAGGAACTCACTGTGTTAGTTAGCTGTGCCACACAGCCAGCCTGTGCTAGGCACTCACTCAGCATAGGACAGATTTGGCATCTGTTCCTCAGGCCTCAGGGTATCAGTAGAAAAGAGCCAGAGAAAAGTCCCATGAAAGCCTGGTGCCAGTGGCTCATGCCTGTAATCCTAACTACTCAGGAGGCTGAGATCTGAGGATTGTGGTTCAAAGCCAACCAGGGCAGGAAAGTCCGTGAGACTCTTGTCTCTAGTTAACCACCAGAAAACCAGAAGTACTGCTGTGGCTCAAGTGGTAGAGCACTAGCCTTGAGCAAAAAGAGCCCAGGGACAGCACCCAGGTCATGAGTTTAAGCCCCATGACTGACAAAAAAGAAAAAAAAGTCCATGAGTACATGCTGGTTCATATGTGAAGTCACTGTCCATAAAACATACTCATGTGGGCAGTTGGCTCCCTGTTCTCATGAGCAATGAGGACTGGGGCAAGTCACCTTCACAGCTGCTACAGGGCTGGGGCTGGGACCTCTCCAAAGGCTGCTCCAGCAGGCTCATCCTGGGCCTGAGCTCTTGTGAAGAGCTGCCTGTGACTTCGGTCCATCTTCGTCTGAAGATGTGCTCTAGGCACTGACCTTATCTCTTGTATCAAGGGTGGTGTGATAGGAATTCATATTGAATGGGACTGCGACCTTGACAAAGCTGCCTCCGAATGCCACCCGCACTATTATTTTAACCGTCTGGACAACAAAGAGACGAAGTCTGTATCCTCGGGGTACAACTTCAGGTAACAGCTATCTTATACCATCTTTTAATCCTGACCTTGACCATACTCTGTGCCATTCCCTGAGCACTAACACCATGACACCTGTGCCTTGGGGTGGGAGTCAGGGAGGGATGGTTGAGGGAAGGCAAGGGTGGCCTGGGCAGTAGCTGTGAGCACTGGTCCAAGGAGGTGGGGGAGTGGGGGGGGAGAAGAAGGGGGTCTGTTCTGCCCTGTTCTTACAATAATGGCTGTAAGGCTTGGCTTCTCTGTGGAGTGAAGTCCCTCAGTGCTTTGGCAGCCCCGGAGGCTGGTTCTGAGCACAGTGGGAAAGCCCTGGCCCCTTGGAGAATGCAGAGGTTTTAAAGGTATGGATGTGCCTCCCTCTTTTTCTTGTGCCAGCATTGGGACTTGAACTCAGGGCCTTGTACTCTTCCTTGTCTTTTTGTGCTCAAGGCTGACACTTTACCACCTGAGCCACCCTTCTACTTCTGGCTTTTGGCTGGGTAATTGGAGATCAGAGTCCCTCAGATTTGTCTTCCCTTGGCTGGTTTCAAACCACAATTCTCAGATCTGTTTCCTGAGTGTCTAGGATTTCAGGTGTAAGCCCACATCACCAGCACCAGCCGGATGTATCTTGTCCCTGACTCAGTGAGTGGATCTCTGTCCTCTATGGATGTTGAGGGTCAGGGGCCTGGGGGCTCTTGAAGCAGTGCTCTGTGCTGCCATGGAAGGAAGGTGCCAGCAGGCTGAACCTCTTTGGGCCTTGTCTCCCCTAGGTTTGCCAGGTATTACCGAGATGCTGCTGGGGTGGAGTTCCGCAACCTGATGAAAGCCTATGGTATACGCTTTGATGTGATAGTTAATGGCAAGGTGCGTATACTACCTTCTTGTTTTCAGACTGAGCAGGCCCAGAGGGTGGAGGGGGGCTGGAGAGATCCGGGGATCTTGCTTCCCATCCTAGCACTGTCAATCCTTGGTGTCTCTGTCTTTCAGGCAGGGAAGTTCAACATCATCCCCACGATCATCAATGTGGGCTCTGGGGTGGCACTCATGGGTGCGGTGAGTACCTACCCCACCTCCCGCCCTCTACTCTGAGGGACGGGAAACCTATCTGATGCTCAGAGATGGTGAGGTCACATACAAGTGTGTGTGACCTCAAGAGTTTCATGCCCTCCCAGCTACCCCGGGTGCAACTTCTGTTGAGATTCTACAGAGTGGAGAGGCATTTGCTTGTCTGAAGCTCCGCACTGTGAGGTGGGGTGGTGTGTGATGTGTGTGGGTCAGTCTTAGGCAAAATGGAGCTTTCTGGGATCCCGGGTCAGTCTAAACCCAGGGTCTTCTAACATCTCCTATCTCTGCTTCAGCTAAGAGGTGGATATACACAGTTTTCTTCAATCTTGGCACTGTTGACATTTTGGGCTGTTAATTATTGTGCCAGTACTGGGGCTTGAACTCAGGGCCTGGGCACTGTTCCTTAGTCTTTTCACGTACAGCTATTACTCTACCACTTGAGTCACACCCCCATTTTTAGATTTTGGGTGATTAATTGGAAATAAGAATCCCACAAAGCTGGGTGCTGGTGGCTCACACCTGTAATCCTAGCTACTTAGGAGGCTGAGATCTGAGGATCGCGGTTCAAAGCCAGCCCAGACAGGAAAGTCTGTGAGACTCTTATCTCCAATAAACCACTAGAAAACTGGAAGTGGTACTGTGCTCAAATGGTAGAGCACTCACCTTGAGCTGAAGAGGGCAGGGACAGTGCCCAAGCCCAGAGTTCAAGCCCCACGACCAGAAAAAAAAAAAAAAAGAATCCCACAGACTTTCCTGCTCCAGCTGGCTTCAAACCTTGGTTCTCATATCTGAGCCTCTTGAGTGGCTAGGGTTACAGGTGTGATCTACCAACCCCACTCAGCCATTGTTTGGGGGCTGTCCTGCATACTGTGGGATGTTTAAGAGCATTCCTGACGTCTACCTACTGAGTGTCAGTGACCCCCTCCTCTCAGTGGTAGCTGCTGAGAACTGGCTAGCTAAAAGAAAGAGAGGCAGGGGAGGCAGCATTCCAGTCCTTCCTGGGAGGAGGCCCCAACTGTCCCAGTGGGGCTCACAGAAGCAGACATAGTGGTTAGAGAATAAGAAAGGTAATGTCCTTTGTGCTCGTGACGAGTGGGAGCTTGGGCCCACACCAGCAAATTCCTTTCAAGTTTTCTGGAGCTTCTTCCCTCATTGCTCTACTGGGCAGTCTGAGGCCCATTGGGGGATTCTATCAAGACCCAAGATCAAGTTCGTATGGACTAGGAGGACAGGAGTCAGAGAGGCAGTGCTCTTGAGAGGGGACCGAGAGTGAGTCCTACGTGGACTGCTGACATCCTTAGGGAATCCCGGATGTGTGTACATGCAGTTTGCTTGCTCTGTGAGTAGTCCAGGCATCAGAGGGCACACCTGTGAGCTAAAGGTGATGTGCGAAGTCAAGTGAGATGGTGGCTGATGGAGTAAGAGTGAACAAGGAATTACTGAATCACATAGCATCTGGGGAAAACGTGTGTTACACCCACAGCCAGACTGCTGAGTTCCCCTGTGCACCACCTCCTTACTCTAGCCTTCAAGATCACACTCCCACCTATGTGGTGTGGGGGTGCCATCTGCTGGAGCAGACAGGCACTGCACACAGGCCACATGCTGGTCAGGACTTTTTGTGAGGCCTCCTCTCTTTCCTTGGCCACTACTGTAGCTTCATGGGGTGAAGGTCAGGCCTCCTCCAATCTATCTCACATTGACTACCAGAATAATTATATATATATATATATATAATATTTTTTTTTGTCAGTTGTGGGGCTTGAACTCTAGGCCTGGGCACTGTCCCTCAGCTCTTCAGCTCAAGGCTAGAACCCTACCACTTGAGCCACAGTACCACTTCCGGTTTTCTGAGTGTTTTATTGGAGATAAGAGTCTCATGGGCTTTCCTGCCTGGGCTGGCTTTGAACCGTGATCCTCAGATCTCAGCCTCCTGAGTAGTTAGGATTACAGGCGTGAGCCACTGATGTCTGGCTTAGAATTTTTGTTTGTTTGTTTGTTTTTGGGTCCGGTCGTGGGCCTGAACTCTGGGCCTGGGCGCTGTCCCTCAGCTCTTCAGCTCAAGGCTAGCGCTCTACCACTTGAGCTACAGCACCACTTCCGGCTTTTTTCCTTTTATGTGGTGCTGGGGAATCGAACCCAGGGCCTCATGCATGCAAGGCAAATGCTCTACCACTGAGCCACCTTCCCAGCCCCCAATTTTTTTTTTGTTCTTGTTCTGAGGCTTGAACTCAGAACCAGGCTGTCCCTAATTCTCCAATATATTCACATTGATTACCAGAGGACACACACTCTCTTTCTTTCTCCTTCTCTGTCTCCCTCCCTGTCTCCCACTCTCCCTTCCTCCCTCCCTTCCCTCTCTCTCTCTCTCATTCCTTCCTATTTTTTTTCCTTCCTTCCTTTTCTTTTCCTTCTCCCTCCCCATGCCCCCAGTTCTGGGGCTTTTGCTCAGGCCTAGGCACTGTCCCTGAGCTTTTGCTCAAGGCTAGCACTCTATCACTTAAGCCACAGAGCCACTTCTAGCCTTTTCTGTTTATATGGTACTGAGGAATTGAACCCAGGGCTTCGGGCATGCTAGGTAGGCACTCTATCACTAAGCTATATTCCCAGCCCATTCTTTTCCCTTTTTGTGAACTTGTCCTGGGACTTGAACTCAGGGCCTAGACACTACCCTTGAACTTTTGTGCTCAAGGCTAGTGCTCTACTACTTGAGCTGCAGCTCCACTTCCGGCTTTTTGGTGGTTAACTGGCTATTAGAGTCTCTCAAATTTGTTTGCCTGAGCTGGCTTCAGATGATGATCCTCACATCTCAGCTTCCTGAGTAGCTGGGATTGTTAGCGAAATGAGTCCCTTCCCATAGCTTAGTCCACTCCTTCCCTTCTCCACAGCTTAGCATGCCCCCTTCCTACCACTATATAAGGCAACAAGAGCCTCTTAGACCTTCAGGTCTGGATAGCTGCAGGACCCCTTATCTACTATTTGGACAGCAGCCATATGATGAACCCCTTGGCCCACAGGTCCACACCAGGGTCTCTGCCTCCTAGCCCCTCCTAAACCTCCTAGGTTATATAAGTCACCCCAGACAATAGCGGGTGCTTCTTCTCATTCCTCCCTTGTGAGAAAGAGTGTTGCCAGCCCCTTTCCCGGCAATAACCCTTTCTTTGTTCTCTGTACCTGGATGTGTGTGTGGTTCTCTGGCAAAGTCTAAGTAATCTAATTGAGCTATCAGGGATCACAGGCATGAGCCACTGGCATCTGGCCAGAGGAATCTTCCCTAAATACCCCCACTAAAGGACTAGAACACATACCTTGAAAGCATTCTCACGTAGGCCGCTTCCTATGGACTTCCCTAGAAGAGCATCTTGCTCTTTCCCTACAGGCCCTGTGGCAGCTTTCAGGCACCAAATCCTACTCCTTCCTCTGCAGTACTTTCCATAGGCTTTGTATCAACTCCTATTCTGCCCTCAAAAGTCACCCCAGAATTATTTTCCCAGGCTTAGTGAAGTCCTGTCTTCTGCCTGCTCCTATCCTCTCTGTTATAAGACATGCCACTCTGTCACAGTACACTTCCTTGCTTTTTTTTTTTTT